ACCTGATTAAGTACATAAAAAAAGTTTCTTGTGAATAATATTAATAAATACTGAATTCAAAACTGAAGTTTGTATAGAAAAACAGGAGCATGTTGGTAAGATAGTTACCGCACTCGGTAACCCTTTTAAAACCTTGATCACTACGCTCTCTCGGCTGGAGTATGTAAATACTATGTAGACTTGTTCTTCGTACCGTAACTATTACTTCTTTTTGAGTCACAGTTTTTATAAACAAAACAAATCTTCACAGATAATCCAATATGTGCGTGTAGTAATAGTTTTTTCACGGTCGGTCATAACAAATAAATATGTCATTACTTTCCGGAGGAAAAAAAACTATATATTTGTGAAAAGTGCAAGTTAATTATAGAGAAGTGTGCATAAATTATTACGAACAGGCCTTCATCCAATTAAAAAAGTCTTAAAGATGGAGCTAATCAAACACGATTGGCTAGGGAGTGTCTGACAATTGAGTAAATAAACTTTGATTGGTCTTTGGCTGGTCGGCGCTTAAACATTGTGCATATCATTAATCAATACAGACATCTTAAGAGTGACATAAGAACTGTTTTTTTAGTGAGTTGATTGTTTTGGAATTTTTCAACCGTTTTTGGTCTATATATGGTACGTGAACAAGTTACTTAAAAGATACAATACCTTATTTGAATTTGATGTTTTTTTAAGTGTGGGCCCCCTTTTTTCTCAAATGACCCCCTTTTGAAAAGTTTATGGGCCTGAAGGGCCCCCTGGGAATTTGTTCTAGATTGAACACAGTGACTGGTACTTTCTCTTTGATGTCATTTATTCCATAACGATTAGCTTTTATGTAGCTATTTTCCTTTACATGGCTCAAAAGAACAATAGTGTGAACAATAGAGTAGCCACATAAGTAGCGATAAAAAAAGTTTCTGATAAACAGTTAAAATAGTCTGTCAAAAATTGTCCAAAAAGAAACAATTTCCAAATTCTCTTGGTATGGATGGATAGCTCTTTGTTCACAATTTATCAAGTATATTTTTGAGTTTAGATAACTATTAGCACTTAAATAGTAACACCAATGGGGTGCAATTTCATCCAAACTTTACAAACTACAGGTGCAATGTCATCCAAATGTTACAAGAATGATCAGTACCAAGTCCATTTCAGCATATCTTTGGCATTTTCTAGTTCTGTGATTTTGTCAGAATTATGGCCCTTTAATTTCTTTTTATTTGCTATCTTGTTTTATTTTTAAAGAAAAAAATAGAAATATTATTACAGTCACGTCAATGTTCCTGTTGCCATCAACAAACAATATTATTGATCATAATTTTTAATTTCTTGGTGTATTGTCTGCATACTTGGCCACAACAACTCTTGGGACAAGATCACTTAGTAGATCAGAATAAACAGGCCACAACAACTCTTGGGACAAGATCACTTAGTAGATCAGAATAAACATCCTTACTCATAAATGACCTTGATCTTCAAGGTTTAATGTCTAAATTTTGCAGTGGCTCTAACTTTGTTATTTTTGAATGAATTGTCTTCAAACTTGAACATAACAATCTTTTATGATAGACATTTTATGATAGACCTTCATGTTGACCAGACAGAATTTGACCTTCACTCATAAATAACCTTGACCTTGAATGTCAAATTATTTATTTTTTTGCTGTTACTAGCTTCAACTTTGTTATTAATGGATGGATTGACTTCATATTAAGGCACAACATTTTTTAGGATAAGACCTTCATGTATATCAAACTCAAATTGACCTTGGCTCATTAATGACATTGACCTTGAAGGTTAAATTTTTGAATTTTCACTGATTTTTGCTATTATTGACTGTAACTTGGCAATTAACATTTAAATTGGATAACCTTCATACAAAACAACTTATCGGAAGATTGAACTGACCTTGACATTTAAATGACCCAATCAATGTCAAATTATTGAATTTTGGTTAAATTGTCATAATTTTGTTATATCTATACAGACTTAATTTATATTTGGACAAAACAAGACTTGCTACCAAACAAACATTTGATTAAATAGATTTGACTTTGACCTTTGATTGACCTTGACCGTCACAATTTTGAGGATTATAATGCAAAAACAATTGTAAGGAAAATTACTTAAAATGCTTCTTGATCCACTTTAATTATTAAATAAGTGAAAATTAAATTTGTTTAAATGTTAAAGTTAAGTGATATCAAACTGCTGCAATATAATGTGGTGCTTTCTGAATGAGAAGGTTTTGGAAAAGAAAATTATTGGTTATTAACAGGATTGTCATTAAGAGTCGGTAGGAGGCCAAAATGCCTGTCTCAAATGCAATATGGGCCGCCTCAAAATTAAGAAAACACTCTGTTTTATGCATGATAAAGACAGAAGTGACCGCCTCAATTTCAAAACAAAAAGCTTCTGCAAAAAATGTTAATGACAACCCTGACCCGGTAATTTAAAAAAATAAAACCCAACAAAAACAAAACATGTAAAAACATGCATCTAGATATCTTGCTACAGTACTAAAAAATAAAGTATGACATCAGCTCATCAGAATAAATTTAAAAAATTTCCATCTGTTATACCAAAGTTAATAAAATATTGTATTTCTTCATTTCTATCTTATTTCAAAGTTAATAAAGTTTAATGGTAAAGTTGATCTGTTGCACTTTTAGCCTTTTCAATATGAACCCTGTTCTGTTTGTCTTGTAAATTTTAATAGACATTGAAATAATACCATACATTTACATTTCTGAACATAAAAATTATTGTTTTGGGGAGAAAAAACAAAAGACATCAATAGTTTCTGTTTGATAAAAATGTTTATAGAAATGAAAAGATCGTAATACAATGTTAACTTTGCATTAAAAAAAATTGGCACACTTCCCTAAGTTACCATTTGTAACCTTCTAAGATATTTATGTTTACATTAATCTTAATGTACCTAGCTATAAATTTTGCAGGCTGTAATTTATATGCCAGTTAAATCACTGCCTTCTTAGACAAATTCATTGCAGTCATATCTTTGGAATTTTTGTGACTATAAAGTAAGCTTCTTAAAAATTATGTTAACAGTTACATTTATGTAGTGTGTAAGTTTTCATTTCATTACAGGTCAATCCAAATAATGTAAAAAATATTGTAAAGGTTTTCTGAAATAGGTTTGTAATCTATAAATATATAATTTCTATATTTCTATATATATTATTTGGCAACATAAACAAGATGTTTATTATTTATGTATTTTAAAAAAATGTTGGGTTATATCTTAAAGTAGTTGGGTTTATAAGAACCAGTCAGAAATGAATATGAAAGTAATTAGCAAAAGTAGCAAGGTTGCCATTGAAATAATGCAGGTGATTTTATCTGGCTATATTATGTGAACACTTTATTATCCCCTGCCGAAAATTTTCGGCGGAGGATATAGAAATAGCAGTCTTTCCGAAAGACCGTCGGAACGTTGGCCCTGACCGGTAAAAAAGCAGAAGGTCCGATAAAAATATATGTATTGACGGCCCGACGGTCTGGTAAAAAATTCAGGTTTTATAAAAACCTTACATTCAACATTTTGCAAAGGCCGATAATTTACCTAAATTCAAAACATATCAAAATGTTGTTTTATGGTCATTATTTAGCTATGATTTTGTGATTATTGAGTTAAGAAAATATTTTGTGTGAAACTGATTTGTTTGAAGCAAATTGTGTTGTTCATGTTCAATTCTAGACAGTTTTGTCTAAACAAGGTCCGATAAAAATATATGTATTGACGGCCCGACGGTCTGGTAAAAAATTCAGGTTTTATAAAAACCTTACATTCAACATTTTGCAAAGGCCGATAATTTACCTAAATTCAAAACATATCAAAATGTTGTTTTATGGTCATTATTTAGCTATGATTTTGTGATTATTGAGTTAAGAAAATATTTTGTGTGAAACTGATTTGTTTGAAGCAAATTGTGTTGTTCATGTTCAATTCTAGACAGTTTTGTCTAAACATTTGGTCCTTATAGATTTTTCAAAGCTGTCAACATTTGGCCCAGAATACAAGAAGCATTATGCTTCTTTCAAAGTTTAATATCAAGGGAAGCATGATAAAGTGTTTTCCTTTACCCATCAATTTATTACCTATCTATGCATTTGGTCCGGTTAAAAATCACCAGGTCCAGTAAGATTTGAAATTTTACTGGCCCGAATGTCCTGTGCTTTTTGAAGTTTTTCGTGAAGACTGAAATAGTCTCTGGCCGTCCGTCCGTCCGACCTTCCGTCCGTCCGTCCTTCCTTCCGTCCGAAATTTTTGTCCGGAGCATATCTCTAAAAGTATTTGAGTTATCAACTTGAAACTTCATAGGTGGATAGACCTCATTGAGGAGGAGTGCAGTGCACAAGAATGTTAACTCTACCTTGCATGATTTTTGAGTTATTGCCCTTTGTTATTTTTCAAAATTGATTTTTGTCCAGAGCATAACTCCAAAAGCCTATGAGATATTAACATGAAACTTCATAGGTGCATAGATCTCACTCAGGAGGTGTGCAGTGCACAAGAATGATAACTCTTCCTTTCATAATTTTTGAGTTATTGCCCTTTGTTATTTTTCATACCTAATTTTTCACCTGAGTGGAGCATAACTCAAAAAGTGTTTGAGTTATTGCCCTTTGTTATTTTTCATACTTAATTTTTCAATTCAATTTTTTTCTCAAAAAGTATTTGAGGTATCAACTTGAAACTTTATAGGTGGATAGATTTTACTGAGGAGGGATGCAGCACTCAAGAATGATAACCTACCCTGCATTATTTTTCAGTTATTGCCCTTTGTTATTTTCAGCCATCAGTATTTACATAGGTTTCAAATCTGTAATCACTATAGCCATCAGTTTTCATTACCAAAAGACCTCTTAAAATGGACTTATTCTGCTCTACTATATATACATTCTTCCAATAAGCAAACACATTCGGCGGGGGATGGCCATGTTGACATGGCTCTTGTTCAGTTTATTTCTTGTTGTATTTATAGGATCTGAGTTGTCCACAGTTGTCACAGGAAGATGGCTGAAGCCCATTCGGCTGTAGCATTCTCATTCCAGGTAACACATGAGGGTGTTGATGTCAACCTTAATCATGATGCCCTCAAAGCTGTCTGGAACAGTGGTATCCATTCCTGGAAGAAAAGACTGGGCAGAGCGAAGGTATACACACTTGTAGCAAAATAACACTTGTAGCAAAATAATTACATTAAATTTCATTTTGGGTGAAATATTACGTGAAAAACAGGAGCAATTTTATGTATGCTATATTTGATGAGCATATACATGTATAATGCACATGTATTGATTGAAGAACAGCTACATTGTAACATTGTTTCCTAAAAGTGAAATGTTTTTGAACATCCCTAAAATATTATTGAATCTGTATTTAAATGAAGATCATTCCAGAATAAGTAATATTTCAACTTGGTTTGTAATATATATATTTTGTGCTAAATATAGAGAATATTGCCTCAAGCAAACAGTTGAAATGCTATGCACTTGTTTTTATCTAGTATATCTATCATATTACACCTGGTCATTAGGTCACTATTTCAGCTTGCACTTATAATTAATATACCATTAATGAATTCATGTCATGAAGCTACTTAATACTTTATAATCTGTCTTTAAACTAATGAATGCATATCCTTTAGACTTGCAAACAAACTATATTTTAATGCTTTATTTTAATGTTATTAACATTAAGTTGTGTCCCTCAACACAAAGCAAATTTACATAATATTATATTAGTTGTAATGTGACAAAACATGTTTCTTAATATAACAAGTTATTAAACAGAATGTCTTTTTTTGTTCTTGAAATTTATTGAGTATAGAAAATAAGCTCTCTCAGACAAAAGTCCTTCCATCTGAAAATGACAAGTGGACAAAGGCCCTCCCGTGAAAATTACAGGTAGTACAACTGGACCCCTCTCCAGCATCCAACATGAATATTATATTTAATAAATGTTGTGTGAAGACTCAAGCTTATGAAAAGTTTAAAGTTAGGCTGATAACTATCTTATTTTGATTAAAACACAATAAAAAATTATTCACTCATTTGTAAAAAAAATATTTACAGTACCAAACACAGGTTATCAATCAGTATTTTACATACACGAAACTCATAAAATTAGACAGTGATGCTTAAGTATACACACATTTATTTATATTATTTTACTAATAATGAATTCAGGGCCTTTTTACCTTCTATAACAGGGGCCGGTATAGGGCTGCTTCCCCAACGAAAATTTCTTTAAAATCATGCAGTTTTCCCCAAAAATTGAATTTACATTAAGTTTTTTCTTCCCCTTTTGCAAATATACCATGTAATTTTTCCCCAAAATTAAGGGCTGGGCTGCTTCCCCAAACTGTGAAAAAAAGCCCTGGAATTGATAATAATAATAGCAGCTACTCTCTTTTTGTTTGTTCTAAATGTAATGTGATAAGATATACATGTGTCCATTTCAAGAGGTGGGCTTTTGTTTGACCTATAGTCTCTATGGATGGAGGGGGGGGGTGCTTTTTTTCCTTCCTGTACATTTGTTAGGAGTGATCTTATCCTACCTGAGTGCTTTTGTCCTCTGTCATTCTTAAACATCAATTACTTTTACTGTTTTCAATGTACATACAATGTTGGTTAATTCGTAGGGGTGGTTGATTGTAATATTACATATATTATTATATCCTTAAATATAAAGTTGTTTTAACAGCTGGTTATGTTAATGCATAATATAAGGTAACACACTGAGCAACACTTGACATTAACTTGCATAACATTTTACTTTTATAGTATCTCTTATAATTGTGACAATTGACATACAGTATTCAATGGAAGGTGTGATGTTTACTTTGCTATCTAGTACATTTGTTCATGCAATAATACATGTATATTGGTCTATATAATAGTGTCTTGGTAGCTACAATGACAGAAAATGTTGTAAAATAGGCATTGAACAAAGGAGAATAAAGACATATAGATTGTCAGGTTAACACATTTTTAGCAAATTTAGTTTTCATCTGCACTGCATGTGTACCTGTTTTCAACAAAAATAAAAAATACATTAATTAAAAGTGTACACTAAAAGCCACTGTTTAGATTAGATAAATTTTAAGAAATTATTAACTCTAATAACTCAGTCTGACATATAGATATTAAAGGTTTTAAAAATGCTCAATTGAGATAAATAAAGTTAGAGTCTATATTAACATGAGATTGAATAGATCTATGTTTTGATCAAGGATATTGCCCTTAACTGTCAAAATGTCATTTATATTGACCTTTATACACCAACATGACCTTCTATCACAGCTGTTATGCTAAAGTTGTAGGTTGCAATTTTGAACTTTATTGGCTAGAAGTTATAAAAGTTTCATTATTCAATGCTTTGAAAAGGTTACATGTTTCCTTTAAGACCTGTTAACATGTATGAACCATTTCATATCTTTTTACATCTAAATGAAAGAATCAGGAACTTCCTTACTGCATGAACAAGAGACATGTATATTTCCAGTTTAAATATTGATCATTCCAAAACAAATCATTGATCCTGTTTTATTCATATACTGGTAGTAGTTACTAGGTTATTCCCTGAAGGGGTTTTCTCTATCGTCTATAAATACTAGCAGTATGTTAGTAAACTGCATTAGCAAAAGTCTGCACTAGATTATTTAATAACATAATATGTCGGTTAATGTTGTTTGCTCTACATTTTACAAAGTGCACATATTTCCTGCAGCACTTTTCTCAACAGAAACTTGCATGCCATTGAAAGTGTGATAATTACCTACATACTTCAGATTTAAAGATATCATACATGTACCGGGTATAAGATTAAGAACAGTTTGGAATGTTGGGAACTGTTTGATAATAAAGCATAAAATTTAAGTAAGCCCTATATTAGAGACCACTTCTTAAATAATATTACTAATTGAACTGTCCCTCTGTCGGAGCTTACATTTGGATACTTATATGGCAAGAGGAACAATAGGTAACTGTTCTCATTCATTCTGTAAGTCTTTTATGTGGCAATTTTCCTTTATGTGGCTTAAAAGAAAAATAGAGAGAACAATATAGTAGTCATATAATTTTGTAAGTACCGTCTGGTTAGAATGTTTGTCCATACAAGGTTAACCTAAAAAAAGACGATACAAATTTAACCCCCACCCCTGGGTTACATAGATTTTCCTTACTATGTAATACATGTAAACAGTAAAAACTTTAAAAAGAATTCTTTTCTAAATCTACAAGATCTTAAGATTAGTTTCCATAGCAACCAGTGACTTCATAGCAGCCATTGACATTTATATAGCAAACTGTAAATTTTCATAGCAACCAGCAAACATTAACTTTCTATAGCATCAATTGAATCTTTGATAGCAAGGACTGACTTCTAATGAAACCATTTATTTTGTATAGCAAACATTGACATATTATGGAACTGTTGTTTTCCTTTAGCAGTAGCAACCAGTAATGTTTTTATGCATGCACTGTTTCAGACTGATACAAAAATAAACTTTGTGATCTCAGTTTAAGATTTAGATTTTATATCTGCTTTAATTTATAGTTAACAATATTTTTGTTCCTTGTAGTGGAAAATATTTATAATCATGTGAGCGGTATTAGGGCCATCATGACCCTCTTCAGTCTTGTTTGAAATATTGTTACTGACACGGATCTCAATATCTGGGCCAGGGGCATATTTGTAAACATGTTCTTGTTTTTTATTGTAAGTGTAAGGTATCTGTGAATATATATATAATTCTAAATTTATTTTTATTTCAGAACAAGGTAAAAGCAGGGACATATCCAGGTTCCCCAACAAGTTGGTTATTTGTGACTGTTCTCATACTCTCACTAAAGATTGCAAATGTAGATCCTTCCTTTGGTTTGATAGGATGGTTCCAGGCTCATATACCAGGGTAAGTCAGAAATGGGCTGCTTAAACTGTTGGGGAATCATTTTATTGGTGAAAGAAATATTACCAAATAATGAATATTGAAACGACATGGGAATTAATGAAAATGCATTATGTTGTCATTATTTAAACAGTGGGGAATATAGAAATAGTCTCTGTCTGTCCATTCTACCATCCCACATATTTGTCCGGAGCATATCTCAAAAAGTGTTGTGGAGGTATCAATTTGAAACTTCATAGGAGGAGTGCAGCACACAAGAATGATAACCTACATTGCATTATTTTTCAGTTATTGCCCTTTGTTATTTTCAGCCAACAGTATTCACATAGGTTTCAAATATATAATCACTTCAGCAATCAGTTTTCATTACCAAAAGACCTCTTAAAATTGAATTGTTCTGCTCTACTACATATACATTCTTCCAATGAGCAAACACATTTGGCGGGGGATGGCCATGTTAACATGGCTCTTGTTACTGTTAAAACTGAATTTATCAAGTAAAATTATTGATGCTCATAAGTTTAAAGTTAGGGCATTTAAAAATATCAGTTTTATGTATATTTCTAGAAAACAAATTAGCATCCAATAGATGGATCAATTGGCCAGAAAATTTCATTGTAACTGTGCAATATTCCAGACTTCCTCTTGGCTATTTGTTGAAAGTAGTTAAACAATATTTTTTTTAATAGACAATGACAAGATTGAGTTTTGGGTTTTGGTTATGGGAAATTTTCAGGGTGACTCGTCAACAAGGAGGCAATGCCTTGAAGACGACTTTTGTTCAGCAAGATAAATTTTATAAGTTAAGACATTTATGTTTTATAGTTCTTATTGATTGTTTCCAGACTGAGTACATCTTCAGAGAATATAAGTCTATATGGGAGTTGTTTACTGTTTTCTACACTGTTATGGCTGGGCATTATACTGTTTCTAAAATACATTCTAAAACTGCTTTTAATGTACCATGGCTGGATGTACGAGGCTCGAGGAAAGGTTTCTATATACACAAAAGTTTGGCTGGTAGGTTGTCTTCATACGTTATTTTTACAATATATTAAATAGTATTGTATTATGTTGTTACTTTCAGGGGCATTTGTGGCCAAGTGGTCAAACCACTTGCCTCTCACCTCTGTATGTTTGAGCCGCGCTGGTGTCCTCAGATTCTACATGTGAGAAAGCTATCCAGCTATCTTACTGAACGTATTTGATTGTAATCGGGTACCTGTTTGTGTCTGAAATAATATACAGAGGGGTACCTGAGTTCTTCCTCAACTAGTAAAGCTGGAAAGTTGCCTTTTGACCTATACTGTGTTGGTGCAATGTTAACCCCCCCCCCCCCCCCCCCCCCAAAAAAAAAAAAAACAAAAAAACAAACAACATTTAATTATTCTACATAAAGAGTATGTTTGGGTAATATATAGGTAGTACCTTTTTATGCCCCCACAAAGTGGAGAGCATATAGCGTTGCACTTGTCCGTCCGTCTGTCTGTACGTCTTTCCGTCCTGAAATCTTGACAGAATTATGGCCCTTTGTTGATTTTTTCACTATATACTACTTAGAAATTTTGTGAACGCAACTCCTCTTAAACTGGATGGCAGATTTTGCTTAAACTTCCAGGGATGAACAACCTTAATGTGAAGATGGTAGTAAAGGAAGGAATTTTTGCTGTGACCAAATTTAACAGAATTATGGCCCTTTGTTGATTTTTTCACTATATACCATATAGAAATTTGTGAATGCAACTCCTCTTAAACCGGGTGGCAGATTCTGCTTAAACTTCCAGGGATGAACAACCTTAATGTGTAGATGGAAGTAAAGGAAGGAATTTTTGCTGCGACTAAATTTAACAGAATTATGGCCCTTTGTTGATTTTTTCCCTTTATACCATATAAAAATTTTGTGAATGCAACTCCTCTTAAACCGTATGGCAGATTTTGATAAAAAGTTCTACATAAAAATCTTACAGATATGCATGCTCTTGTTTACGAGCACATCTGCATAGTGGGGGCATCTGTGTGCTTTGGACACAGTTCTAGTTTAGCACTAAATTATTGATGGAATTAAAATAATTTTGATGTTCATATATGTGTTGTATTTATAATTTATGTTACGATATTAGGACAAACAATATGAACTTCTATTTGTAGGGTTTGATTCGCCTGTTTGGAGGAAGAAAGCCAATGTTGAACAGCTATCAGTCTTCACTTCCCAAACTTTGTCTTCCTTCTGTTGATGAAACGATTAGAAGAGTAAGTTTTCATGCATTAAATGCTCATATACAAAATATGTTAGGTTGTTATTTGTCATATATTAATTAAAAATCATTTTATGATATTTTTTGTTGTAACATTTTGCTTTCTATGATCAGTATCTTAAAAGTAAATGTTGTAGTTTTGATGAATGTTTAATCCTATTGAATGTAAATTCAAAGTTCCATTCTTTTTAATTTTTCATATTTTTACATGTCAGTGATGAAGATCTGGTTTATTATTGTTAGGTATTGTAATGAAGTCATGTGTTAATTATCATCTTATCATTCAATAATGTATACTTTCAAATTCTATCACTAGATATGACATTTTTTAAGCATGGTGTTTTTATTGTACCAGTTAATGACTTCCTGTTTACAATATTTCAGTATTTGTTAAGTATCAAACCAATACTAGACGATGAGAAATATGAGAGGTTATCTACCCTTGCTGAGGAGTTTCGATCTGGACTAGGAAAAAAACTACAACGCTACCTCCTTCTCAAATCATGGTGGTCAACAAATTATGTAAGTACTCATTTACCATTTGTTTTGTCTGTTTCTTAATTTATTTAATAATTTTCAAATCAGTTTGGTTTTCGTTTGCACCAAAATTTATCAAATGATTAAAATAAGGAAACAATTTTTTGTCAAATTGAATGTTAAAAAGAAAATATAAAAGCTAAGTTTGTTATAGTTTTTGGACAGTTAACATTGTCATGATAAAATTTCTTGTTTCATTTTATCTGTAGATACAGATTTTATAAGATACATAGTTTGATAAGGAGCGTATATAACAATGGCCAATGCAATATTTATATCTAATCTATATTCAAAAAGATACATATTTATGTTGGTATACTTTAAATCTTATCACTATATAAGTATATATATACAAGTATAATGATAATAATATAAATATAAAATCATTGTAATATAAAAAAGGGTAAACAAGGAATGATAAAGACATTGTAATCACAGACAATATCAGAACTAACATTTAAATTTAGAGCAGTTTGGTCCTGAAAATTACAAAATGCAATGTTTCATAGAAATGGCAGAATTAATGATGAACACAGCTGATAAAAATGCTTTTGATGATTATTATTTTCATTATCTCCAAATTACTGTAGTAAATACAATAATGTAGCCTATAATGAAGTTCAATATACTGAATCACTTTGAGTTTTGTTTTAGGTCACTTTTAGAATCAAAAAACAAAACAAACAAAAACAGCTCATTAAAATGTTTGTCAAAATGTTGATTTCCTTTCCCAATATTTTTACGAATATTAATCTTATCTATAATAAGTTAAAAAAAAACTTTTATTTAATATGCAGACCTAAAGTTTATAATTTCTTTTTACATGATTGAAAAGAAAAAAAGATGGGTTCATACATTTGATAAAACTCTAGTGCATGAGATAAAACTTATGATTGGTCAAAATTATTATCCCAGAAACTGTCTTCATCATTTATTTATTGGCTTTTAAATTTTAATCTTGATGTTGAATTTTTTTCTTTTTTTAAGAGGAAAAACTTACCAATTTTATTAAAAGGAGTTTAATATGAGCTTGTTTGTAAGGACCATAGACTTTACAAGAACAAGTCTTGGTATATCATTACATTATACAGTTTCATATGATGGAAATGCTGCATTTTAGGTAACAGATTGGTGGGAGGAGTATGTTTATCTTCGTGGAAGATCTCCACTCATGGTGAACAGTAACTATTATGGTGTGGTGAGTTTATTCAGCTTCCTTCGTTTCTTTTTATAAATAGAATATTAACACAGATTCCTACAAGGACCCTCCATAAACAAATGGTTAATGTTAATGAATTAAGATCATTGAAATTGATTTTTCCCTCCCCTTAATAAGTTTGAGTCCTGCTGTAAGTTGACTTTACATACATTGATATGACAAAACACAACCAAAATAGTATATTCTTACATGAACATGAACTTTGTCTAATCCAGTTACCTCTCTGGCGTGGGTTCGAACCCCGGGAGATGCTTTGGTAGTTTTGCGTGGAGGAAGGTAGTCTAGTACTGGTGTAACTCTCCAGGAACGATGGTTAGGAAACTACCCGCCTATATGACTGAAATACTGTTGGGAAAAGGCGTAAAATGAAACAAACAAACGAAAAACAAAACATGAACTTTGTATATTTCGCTATTTGTTAAAAATTTTAACTTATATGCTACAGAGTTAACAGGATTTTTTTCTCTTTATTGGAAAGAAGCCTTAGCGCTTTGATTTTGGGAAAAAATATTGCTAAAATGCTAATTTGGAAAAGTAAAAACCTTGTGGATAGTAGGATTTTTGGGAATTATGTATGATTTACAAGAAAACTTAAATCGGGAAGAGGACTTTTACAGGATTTTGTTATGTAATGTAAAAAAAACTTAATTGCTAAAGTGATAAATTTGCATGATCTTCTGTTTTATCAGAGGGTAAAGTTTGCAAAAAGCAAATTTAAATGAAAATAATTAGTAAACCAATTACATGCATGTCATAAATGTCATCTCATATATATGTTGCTGTATATTATGTTTTACAGGATGCTATACTGATGCATCCAACAAAAGTAGCAGCAGCAAGGGCAGCAAATGTTACATATGTGATGTTACAATACAGGAGAGAGTTGGATAGAGAGGAGCTTAACCCTGTATGTTACTATGTATCACTTGTTTTTTGAAACTCGAGATAAAATACCAAGTGTTTATAAGTTAACTCCACTTGGAGGATGCAAATAGTAGCCCTTGTCATCTGTTTGGCTCATGTTGTCTGTTTCAAGACTAATAAAACAGATCCTTGAACTATCAAAACATTACTAGTTCTAAAATTGTCTACCTTCTCTTTAAAAAAGATAACTTATGACAAAATTCTTAAAACTGAATACATATTTTTATGGTACATAACATCCATATGTGGGTATGCATGAATACTGATATTAATAACTTTTACATACTTGTGACACACTCACCTGTTATCATTTTAATTTGTCATTGAGATTATAAAGTTATGATAATGCAATTAATATGATAAAAACCAAATAAAGAAAAACATTTGGGTAAATAATGTTTAACCTCATAAGTGTTTTATTCACAATGCATATTGACAGTAATGTAACTTTCATTTTAATTCTGAAACTTTGTCTTGTTACTCATCAAATCATTTTATGTACAAAAAAGATTAAATTTCAAACAAATATTTAAATAATATTCCACCTACTGTATATTTACCATTTCCCCAATTATGTAAGCAAGGTTCATTCTATAAATGAATAGGTTGAATTTTGTTTAAATCACTGAATGTAAATTGTCCATTTCTTAGGTTACTTATGTTATCACTAGTTTTACAAATTGCCCAAGGGTAGTGTAACTTGACGGATATATAACTATTACATATTTCAGATTTTATTGAATAAAACAGTGCCATTATGTTCAGCCCAGTATGAGAGACAGTTCAACACAACTAGAGTACCTGGTGTAGTTTCTGATAAACTGGTTCACTATAAAGACAGTAAACATGTAGCTGTCTACCATAAAGGCAGGTTCTTTAAGGTCTATATCCACTTCAAAGGGAGACATTTGAAGCCTTGTGAATTGGAAAGGTAATGTAAAGTTAGCAATGCAAACTTATTTTTTATTTCAAAAAAGAAAGCTTTTGTCATGACCCTTTCGTTTTCTGTTTGTTTGTACACTTGATTAGCTCAGATGAGTAAAGGTCATATCACTAATTAAGGGGGTTTCTGGTTCTGGCTGCTGGTTAGATCCTCTTTATTATGTGGGATAAAGTAGTTGGCCACTTTCCAAAAAAAAGGTAATTACTGGTTAGTTTAATAGTCAGGATGGCAAGTAAGTTGGGTTGACTGCTGAGATATGACCAAAAATGTGTTAAATCAGCCTAAAAAAGATGAAAGTTGCAAAAGCAATGAGTTTTACCTGTCACACCCAATTTTCAGATTAAAATGTTGGTCATTCTATTCTCTAATAGCAAAACATTAAATTGGTCATTCACTCAAATTCCAGTTAAGTGTCCCTCACTGAGAAAAGTGAGTGCACTGCCCTTCAGACAGTTCTTGTTTATTATTGTCACCAAAACTCCTATGGGTGACTCGCTCCTGAAGACTGTCATTAATATTATTTTAGATCTTATTTTGGATGCAACAGATATAGTAATTACACAATTTCATGAGAAACTTGTTCTGTAATGTTAGAGTAGTATAGCACCATGGCTAAAGGACAGCAATTTCTAATGTCAATTTTAAACATTTCCTTATGTTGATTTTAGAGTACCAGTCTATCAGTCATGAATAATAATAATTTTTGATCTGTAATATTCTTGCTACAGTGGTTTGTTATCTATTTTGTGTAAATTATCAGTTGTACCCATATTCCTTTATTTCAAATATATAACCTTGTTTGTTTCACTTTAATGAACATACCCGATTCTGTTTTTGCATTCAATTATTCTTGGCCAGACATGAACTTATACTGAATAAAACACAGTATATAACTAAAATTCTGCTAATAGTATTTTATAAAAGAATATTTATACATTGATTCTAAACAGTACATATAAATTTACTTTTGAGAGTGAAGGGGAATGCTTAATAAATGTACTAAATAGATAGAAATGTTACACTATTTTACAGATCATTCCAGAAGATACTGGATGATGAGAGTCCCCCTGTAGGTGGTGAGGAACATATTCCTGCTCTTACTGGAGCAGATAGAGTGCCATGGGCTAAAGCTAGAACAGAATTCTTCTCCAAAGGCAAAAACAAAGCATCTCTAGATGCTGTAGAGAAAGTATGTTTATAACTGACTATAAAACCCCAAGTCTGCATTTGTAAATGTTTGAGAATTATTATGCCCCCATTTCGAAGAAAAGGGGGTATATTGCTTTGCACTTGTCGGTCCGTCGGTCCGTCGGTCCGTAGACCAAATGGTTTCCGAGTGATATCTAAAGAACCCTTAGGCCTAGGAACTTCAAACTTGGTATGGTGATTGGTCATGACAAGTAGATGACCCCTATTGATTTTGGGGTCAAGGGGTCAAAGGTCAAGGTCACATTGACCTTGTAAGCAAAAACGGTTTCCGATCAATAACTAAAGAACCTTAAAGCCTAGGAACTTCAAACTTGGTATGGTGATTTGTCATGATCAGTAGATGACCCCTATTGATTTTGGGGTCAAGGGGTCAAAGGTCAAGGTCACATTGACCTTGTAAGCAAAAACGGTTTCCGATCAATAAGTAAAGAACCTTAAGGCCTAGGAACTTCAAACTTGGTATGGTGATTGGTCATGATTAGTAGATGACCCCTATTGATTTTGGGGTCAAGGGGTCAAAGGTCAAGGTCACATTGACCTCTTGGGTAAAAACAGTTTCCGATCAATAACAAAAGAACCCTTAGGCCTAGGAACTTCAAACTTGGTATGGTGATTGGTTATTGAGCAGCAGATGACCCCTATTGATTTTGGGGTTAAGTGGTCAAAGGTCAAGGTCACATTGACCTTGTAGGTAAAAACGGTTTCCGATCAATAACGAAAGAACCCTTAGGCCTAGGGACTTCAAACTTGATATGGTGATTGGTCATGATCAGTAGATGACCCCTATTGATTTTGGGGTTAAGGGGTCAAAGGTCAAGGTCACATTGACCTTGTAGGTAAAAACGGTTTCCGATCAATAACGAAAGAACCCTTAGGCCTAGGGACTTCAAACTTGATATGGTGATTGGTCATGACAAGTAGATGACCCCTATTGATTTTGTGGTCAAGGGGTCAAAGGTCAAGGTCACATTGACCTCTTAGGTAAAAACAGTTTCCGATCAATAACTAAAGAACCCTTAGCCTAGGAACTTCAAACTTGGTATGGTGATTGGTCATGATCAGTAGATGACCCTATTGATTTTGGGGTCAAGGGGTCAAAGGTCAAGGTCACATTGACCTCTTAGGTAAAAGCAGTTTCCGATCAATAACTAAAGAACCCTTAGGCCTAGGAACTTCAAACTTGGTATGGTGATTGGTCATGACCAGTAGATGACCCCTATTGATTTTGGGGTTAAGGGGTCAAAGGGCAAGGTCACATTGACCTTCTTAGGTAAAAAACAGCTTTCCGATCAATAACTTAAGAACCCTTAGGCCTAGGAACTTCAAACTTGGTATGGTGATTGGTCATGACCAGCAGATGACCTATTGTTTTTAGGGTCAAGGGGTCAAAGGTCATGTTACATTGACCTTGTAGGTAAAAAACGGTTTCCGATCAATTAACTAAAAACGCTTAGGCCTAGGAACTTCAAACTTTGTATGATGATTGGTGGTGACCAGCAGATGACCCCTATTGATTTTGGGTCAAGGGGTCAAAGGTCAAGGTCACATCGACCTTGTAAGTAAAAACGGTTTCTGATCAATAACTTAAAAAACGCTTAGGCCTAGGAACTTAAAACTTGGTATGGTGATTGGTTTCATGACCAGCAGATTGACCCCTATTGATTTTGGGGTTAAGGGGTCAAAGGTCAAGGTCACATTGACCTTGTAAGTAAAAACGGTTTCTGATCAATAACTAAAGAACGCTTCGGCCTAGGAACTTCAAACTTGGCATATGGTGATTGGTCATGATCAGCAGATGACCCCTATTGATTTTTGGGTTCAAGGGTCAAAGGTCAAGGTCACATTGACCTCTGTATGTTAAAACGGTTTCTGATTAATAAAAAGAACCCTTAGGCCTAGGAACTTCAAACTTGGTATGGTGATTGGTCATGATCAGCAAGATGACCCCTATTGATTTTGGGGTCAAGGGATCAAAGGTCAAGGTCACATTGACCTCTTAGGTAAAAGCAGTTTCCGATCAATAACTAAAGAACCCTTAGGCCTAGGAACTTCAAACTTGGTATGGTGATTGGTCATGACCAGCAGATGACCCCTACTGATTTTGGGTCAAAGGGTCAAAGGGCAAGGTCACATTGACCTTCTTAGGTAAAAACAGTTTCCGATCAATAACTTAAGAACCCTTAGGCCTAGGAACTTCAAACTTGGTATGGTGATTGGTCATGACCAGCAGATGACCTATTGTTTTTAGGGTCAAGGGGTCAAAGGTCATGTTACATTGACCTTGTAGGTAAAAACGGTTTCCGATCAATTTACTAAAAACGCTTGGGCCTAGGAACTTTAAACTTTGTATGATGATTGGTGGTGACCAGCAGATGACCCTATTGAGTTTTGGGTCAAGGGGTCAAAGGTCAAGGTCACATCGACCTTGTAAGTAAAAACGGTTTCTGATCAATAACTTAAAAACGCTTCGGCCTAGGAACTTCAAACTTGGTGATTTTTCATACCAGTGATTGGTCAAGGGGTCAAAGGTCAAGGTCACATTGACCTTGTAAGTAAAAACAGTTTCTGATCAATAACTAAAGAACGCTTCGGCCTAGGAACTTGATGATTGGTCATGATCAGCAATGACCCCTATTGATTTTTTGGGTCAAAGGTCAAGGTCACATTGACCTTGTATGTTAAAACGGTTTCGGATCAATAATAAAAGAACCCTTAGGCCTAGGAACTTCAAACTTGGCATGGTGATTAGTCATGACCAGCAAATGACCCCTATTGATTTTGGGGTCAAGGGGTCAAAGGTCACATTGACCTTGTAAGTAAAAACGGTTTCTGATCAATTAACTAAAAACGCTTAGGCCTAGGAACTTCAAACTTTGTATGATGATTGGTCTTGACCAGCAGATGACCCCTATTGAGTTTTGGGTCAAGGGGTCAAAGGTCAAGGTCATGACCAGTAGATACTTGATAACCCTTATTAATTGTTTGATCACTGGGTCAGAAGTCATGCATAATTACCTTATCACATGAATAATTGGCTGCTGATAGGGGGCATACATGTTTTACAAACATATCTTGTTAACATTGCAGTTGAATTGATTGTTTATAAGGTTTAGCTTAGTACTTTGTGTCTGATAAGTTATTTTCCATAGTAAGGCCCTACCTAACATTGTTTATCAATAATAAGTCGATGCTGGATAGAAATCCAGATATTTTAATGTGTTTGACTCATTCTCGGGTTGATTACACGACCAATAATACTTCATTGCAGTAGTAATGAAATAGATCAAAATGAAATTCCTAAAGAACACTCAAAACAGCAAAATTAAAAATTTGGCTAGCTCTGTTTGATGGAGTTCTTCATAGAAGGTTGTGTTATTGCAAGGTACCGTATATGCCTTCTAGCACCCACTTGTGCAGAATTTAGCATTTTATTTTGTGCACATTGGTTTTTAAGTGAACTCTTAGATAGATGTCATGAAAATTGAATTAAATAACAGTGTATTGTTAGAAGTTGATAATGCGAGGTGACACCTTGAAAGTTGAGTATTGCAGATAAAACAAATTTTTTTTCTATAAAAAGATGTAAATTAATAATGTTTTTCAGGCTGCTTTCTTTATAACCTTTGATGATGAACCTCAAGACTTTGTTATTGTGAGTATTAAATTTATGTGACATTGTAGTCTGAAAGTACAGTTAACTATTTATCTTAGATCATCAGTAACATTTCATATGAATAAATTTATTTGTAACAAAATCAAACTCTGTAGTTTTGTATATTTCCACATATGATATATATCAATAAGATAACAAACAGATTTAGTGAAGATAATGAAGACAATTTGAAGGATTTTTCTGTCTTAGAAATATTATTTATATTTGTGTTTTGATATGAAAATATGGACATTCTGTACTTATTGTTTTCAGGGTGACCAGAAGAGTTTTGATAATTTTGCTGGTGCTATGTTACATGGTAATGGCTCTAACAGATGGTTTGATAAGTCTTTTAATCTGGTTATCACTCCTAATGGAAGGGTAAGATATATTTATGTAGTATATTTTACACCTAAAGACTACCTTTGTAGTATACTTTACAATGAAGACAAGTTGACTATAAAGATATTTGCATTTTTTACAGTCTCAAAATTGTAATGTAAGTCTATTTTGGATTGAAAAAATGTAGTCACAGAAGATCTATTCATTTGCTATGAAGACTTTTTGTTTGTTTGTTTTTTGAATAAAAACAAATAAATAATCTAACTGATACATGTAGTTAGACATACAACGATTAACAAGTACACCTAGTTTATATTGTTCGAGTATTTTAAACTGATTTCATATAAACCATGATCCTGCTGGCGGCAACTTTTAATCTATGTAAGGAGTGTAGACCAAGATCAGAAGGTAATTCTGTGTAGTCTGATCATGAATTTGCACTGTTGACTTTTCAGTCAGTACTCATTTTAAAAATTTTTTTGCTAAAAATGATGAATGATTTTGTCAAGGTTTAAAGATAGACAAGTCAATTTAAGATATTTAGCTTGACAAGGTTTAATACATTGATTTGTATAAATTTTCATTTTTAAATTCCAGATTGGCTTCAATGCTGAACATTCATGGTAAGTGTTAAGATTAATCATTATATCTTAATAGTTCAAAATACATAAGAACCTTTGGCATATTAAGCCTTATTGAAAAGTATTGATAATGTTTCTTGAATAAATCTGCCTTGATAGAAAAGACGATTTGAGTCGCATTGCAACAAAACCAACATAATGGGTTTGCGACCAGCATGGATCCAGACAAGCCTGCGCATCCGGATCAGGATCCATGCTGTTCGCTATCAGTTTCTCTACTTGTAATAGGGTTGGGAAGCAAACAGCATGGATCCTGATAAGACTGGGCAGATGCGCAGGCTGGACTTGATCCATGCTGATGGCAAACACACTATGTTGGTTTTGTCGTGACGCGGCTCATTTTAATGAAACACCATTCAACTGGCTGCATACTGAATGTCATCAGGTAGACTTAAATGTCTGAAAACAGGACAGGATTGGCATACTTTCATATATTTTTTGAGTAGTGAGTTGAACACAAAATTATTACATGCATATATGATAAGAAGTATGAATGAATCTTTCTGCTAATTTGATGATTGTTTGATACTTGCAAGTTGTATTTATGAATGTCTTTGTTTGATTGTTCCATCACCACAGTGAATGTCCAGCCATTGTGAATGTTCCACTTCTTTTCTTAGTTTCATAGTTGCTTTAATTTGGTCATGACTTCTTTTATAATTTTTCCTACAGAACTTTTGAAATGAATTGTCTGAATTGTATGCGCTACTGTTTTAGATACTTTTTTTTCAAGCACCATGTACTCAATTTATTAACAATGTAACTCGTGACGGACACTTATGCAAACCAGAGAATATTACAGAATTTTTAATATAATTATTGAAATATTGGGGAAAATGTAATTTTATATCCTCTGTGGCTGAGTGGGTAAGGTTGATGCTTTCAAACTACTAGCTACTCACAGTTTCATTTTTTAAACCACAGGCATTCGGCACATTTGCCACAACAATATAATGGTCAAATTATCACCCCTTGATCATCAAGAACAAAATTACTATCCCGCACCCATTTACTATATAAAATACATACAAGCTGTAGCCTATTCCCCTGACATAGTCAACATTTTGCTATAGCATTTTTTAAAATAAGACATATTTTCATACTTAAACATGCAAACATAGCTCAATAGATATAGCTCTTAGTAACTGTTAAAAATATTGAGCCATCTATCTGCATTTATGATAAATGAATTATCAAAGGTGAAAAATTACCTTAAATTGTGAGGTTGACATGTTTGTGCCAACAAAATTTCCAAACTCAACCATGAGTAAACATGCTAGTAGTTTTGCATTATTTATACAAAATGGGACTGTCTGTCTGTAGACTTACAAAACAGTAGAATAAGGGTGCATACTTTGTTATTGACACATTTTTAGTTAAATGGTTATTTTTTCTTCAAATGAGGCAATATGTGTTGAAAAAAAGGGTTTTATGTTACCTTTAATCACTTATTTACTGTATACTTGAGAAAACTGTTACTATTTTGATCAAGTCAAAGAATTTATAATCTAAAGGTGTGATGCTCTTCTACTTTACTTAGATCATATAGTGGCTGCATTTTGACAAGCTCTAAATCTATATGTTACGTTGACCTAGTAGTTGGCATCAATGTCTGTCTCAATCGATTCTTGTGTTTGAGCGCATTTACCTATTCTGCTTGTAGATATGATTGTATTTTTGTCGTGAATGAAAACTTTATCTGGAGAAGAGCAAAGAGAGAACTGTTATTTCACTAAATGTTGCACAGAATTGTGCATTACTTGGCAGAAATTAGTCATTATTTTCTGTCAAATAATGACAAGTAAATATTGACAGATTGACTCTTAATTATGATTGGATCAATATTAAAAAAAAAACAAATCTACCACTTGATCAAGAAAATGCATTGAATTCCATTTTAAATTGAATGAAATAAATATAAAGTAGAAATAACAGATTAATCTTTGCAATGATGTTAGGTGATCTTTAGGTTGACAATTTGTTTTCCCATTGTTTTGTTAATTGCTTTTGGATCAAATCTTGAAATAAAAGAGATTTATTCATGAATTATGAAATTATAGATCATTTTTTAGCTGACCTGTCACAAAGTGACAGGGTGAGCTATTGTGATCGCTTTTCATCTGGCGTCAGTCTTTCCGTAAACTTTTGCTTTAAATGACATCTCCTCATAAACCACTAAGCCAATTTCATCCAAACTTCTTCTTTTAAAAAACCCAATGAGCTAGAACTTAGATGTTGAGCATGAAACATCTTCTTACCAAGTCTGTTCAAATAAACAAATAAAAGCCCTTGGGTTAAAATTGGCCCCGGGGGTGGTGGCTATAGACAGGTGAGTGACCCCAGGGCCATCATGGCCCTCTTATTTCTGGTTTCACTTCATGTTATTCATGCATTTGAGAGTAATCTTGAGAATAATAGCATGACTAAAACAAAAAAACTTTTCTTAGAAATGATATTTTTTTATTTTTATCAAAGTCACCTAGTGAATGATCTTATATAATAGATCAGTAAACATTTTCCAGGGCAGATGCACCAATAATGGCCCACTTGTGGGAGTATGTTTGTGCAGAAACTACACGTCTAGGGTATAAACTGCAGTGTCACTATCATAATGTAGTTCAGACAGTGAACACGCTGTATTGGCTACATTCCATGTCACATTCATTGTGGCTTCATTTAGTCTTTTTGCTCATTATATTTCCCTCACAAAGGAACTTGTTTATAAATATGTTAAAAAGTCAAAACTGTTAAATTTAACTCAGTTTTAAAAGGCCTGTATGATATTTTTGATGTATATTTTTTATTAGATTTTTACTATTATCGTCTATAGATTTATAAACAAGTCCCCTTTAATATCTATCCCATTATAATACTAACAACTCTGGTTTTGCTATCAATTGAAGTGTAATTTAAATGTGTATCAACTCTGTAACGAATCTAAGGCCAGTTAAAATGATTCTTTCTTTTGTCAAAAGTTTTGCCTATTGTAAAGAGACACAATCATGAAGTTCCTAAACAGATAAAGAATGGTTTCAATTGGCCTTCTAATTTGTCATTTCTATAGCTAGAATAAATAGACTAGTGTTCAGCTGACAGTTTGTGTGTAGTTCTAATATAACTATCACTTTCAAAGCTTACTACATCTTTACTTCTGTCTACAGCTTACATTTTTACCTTATGTATAGATTTTTTTTGCATGAAATCATAAAGACAGTGAAACTTCTGTTTTATTGTAAACCTTTTTTTTTTCTGGCTTGAATATTTATCTTTCATCTGTTATTTTTATGTTGGGGAAAGTGTGTGATAAATCATACTTACCTTAATGTCAATATAACCACCATTATGGTGTTCATGCAAACAAACAAATAAAGGGAAGGGAAGCATTGTTTGTAGTATTTGTCTGTCTTTACAAAGCTAAAAAAACATAATCTTTTGATATCTGCATAGTATTTTTGTTTCGTTTATGTATGCCATTTACTTATATATGCTGCTTTAGTACATATGTATTATTTTCGGTGCATAAATATTTAAAATATGAGCAGTATTTACTGGGAATGAAATTTCTACTATGTTGGTTGTAAAGGAGAAAGATGTGGTAGGTATAGTTGATATTTGATATATATATTTTTCCTCAACACATTATTAATACTGTAGCTCCATCATTTTACAGGGCTGATGCACCTATAATGGCCCATTTATGGGAGTATGGGGTCACAGATGATCACAGTGTGCTCGGGTAGGAGATTTGCGCCCGGCTCGCGTTTTTCAAGGGTGCATGTTGCATGCTTGTGTTACCCTTCACACCATGTTATAATATTAGTGCCATATAATCATGATTTTTGTTCTATAAGTTGTATATTGGTTTTTTGTTTGGCATACATAGGGGAGTTAGATGTTTTTGTGGTTATTTGTTTCGCTATTGTAATTTAGTTTTTGTGCATGAATATTATTTTCTCTTGCATTTGTTAACAAGGAGAATAGGGAGTATGTGGAAAATTCAAATGACATGCATGACTGCTGAATTACTTTTTTTTTTGTCTTATTACCAAAGAAAATCAACGTTTGATAAGAAAAACTTTTAATGAGCCTCACAAATGCTAGCAGGAAATAGTACATGTGTTTGAAAATCATATTCTTCATAATTATGTTCACTTATGTTTTATTTTTTAAAACTGCAGTTTCTATTAATATCAATATAAAGAGACTAATAATATCTGGCATATGTTGTGCTTCGGATAGGAATATCCAACCTGAGGGGATCCGCCCATAGGGCAGGTATACCCCCATTGGGCAGGTAACAAGGCTTGCCAGGTGACAAAGGGACTGATATTCCAATCAGAATCGCAAATATTGAAATTTTGGGGAAGGAAATTCCAGTCTGATGCAAGAATGAAAATTATAAACTATAGAATCAGCAAAAAAATCTACCAACCAGACCAAACATAAAAGACTTTTGTCTAAATATTGCTTAATTAATTAATGATTGGTAATATACTGGAATTTTGGCCCTACTTAATAAGAGACATAACAATCTGTGTGATATCTAACATGCCTGGAGATAAGCATTTTGTATGCTGAAGCATGTATGGTTTATTTAATGCTTGTGGTAGTTGTCTTGGCTTTTGGCACTAAGCTTGTTGAGTTTTTCTATATAACATGAAAAGCTTAGCACTAATTTAAAATTTCTGTTTCAATAACAAAGGCATCTTTAAACAAGTTGGTTTACATAGACATCCTGAAGTTCAAGATTTCAGGCTTAGATTTTCTTCATGTAAGCAGGATAATAATCTAGACTTGCAGGTGACAGACAGGTGAGGTTACGGTATGAGTTGGCTTAAGTTTCAACTGAGCTTAAACTTATGTTGAGTTAATTGAACAAAGCTTTCACGAGTAATGGAGATAGAGTTTAATGATTGAGTTTTATTCCATGTAATAATCTGCAGGGGTGACGCACCTATTATGGCGCATATGTGGGAATATTGTGTAGCCAGCATTTTACTCGGGTAAAACTTTTTCTTCTAACATTTATCTTCAATTGGTGAGTATACAGCATGTAACGCTTAGCTTCAGTTATGTGGTTATCAGCCTTATTTTCCTTGATGTTAAATGTATTCAGTATTAAGTACTACTATTCAGCATTTATTTTTATTCAAAATATTGTTCAGCAGTATCCTGAAATTTTATTCACTTAATTTATATGCACTTGAAAGTGATGTTTAGATATTACCTTGTGTCTGATATATATCATACTTTTTGATGACTCCTTTCATACGTTCTTTAAAAATGGTGTTAAATCATCTTCAAATCTCTGACCAAGGAATCAAGAATGTTCATTCAATTTCATAAAAATTTTGCATATTGTCCAGTTTAAACATATATGATATTTAAGCTGGACTGTGAAATAAGTTGACTCTTTTTCTGGACAAAGCAATACTAGTGTTATTTAGAGAAACACAGTATTGGTCCCAGTCGGACTTAAACCTACAAATCCTGAGTTTAGATAGAGACATTATAACAACATATATTATCTCCCCTTCCTTCAATTAACTAATGAACATAAATAAGGACTTGCACATTAACCTGTGTTTCTATTCCATTTATTTCTGAGATGCATTTTTGCTGCTTTGCTTTCCTTGTTAGAATAGCTAGCTGATAGTCAGACCATCTGTGTAGTGAAGTGTGTGATTATTTCTGGATTATCATGATACTTTGTTAAAACACATTCATAACTCATCTTATTTGTAATTCTTTAATGTGTTGTTTGTTATTCTGTGCACTTCCCATACTCCACCTATAGTAAAAGAGCATTCATTTATAGATATAAAACTCATTATAAACAGTTGAATGATATATTGTTAACATTGTAGCACTTGAATATATTAGCTAACACTATTAAATAATGCATTAATTTTGTATGCCTTTAAAGTATTTACATGTCTAATAAAGAATACGTCATTTACGCTTCAACCCATGACAAAAATAGAGAAAGACATTATTCTTTGGTCATGAGATGAATATTAAAATATAGCTTTTGATGCAAGGTCACACATTAGTCTGTGTAAGCATTGAAAAACATAGATTTAACATAATAGTAGCTTACTGTATGGAAGAGCTGTGTTGTGAATGACTTACATGATAAAAACAAAAAGTCTGAAATTTAAGTTTCATAGTAACCTCATTTAAAGCTGTAGTTGGTTTAGAACAGTTATAACTTGATATACACTTCAGCTCTATTTGTCTGTCTTCCAACACAGATTTCCTGAGCACAAATTTGTAAACTGATTTTAAGTGTTTTCTTTAATTTAAAGTATATTCGCTAAAGAAGAAAACAACTAATATTTGTGTTGTTTCATGTCATTTTAATTATGTGCAAACCTATTATTTACATTTTCCTTTGTTTCATTACCTTCCACAATATAAAATAAGTTACTTTAGCATATTTCACTTCCTGATTTTCTATCATCATTTTCATTTTGAAATACATTAAGTTTAACTTATATAAAATTAAAATTTGATATTTGATCTGACACTCTTAAATCATTTTATATTACTACCTATTTTAATGCCTCATAAAATACTTTTTATCATATTTTATATTGTAATAAACATTAAAGTATAAAAGATATACTGTAATTGTTAAAAAATATATTTGTTAAAGTTAAAGTAAATGGAATATACATGTATGATATATTGACATTTTTTATGAATGTAGGGAACTGTAGGTTTATTTTATATGTTTATTAGATATGAAGAAGATGGACACACTAAAGGTGAACCAGAGATGACTCCTCCTAACCCTATACGACTAGAGTGGGACCTTCCAGAACCTGTAAGTAGTTATACCCCCAAAAACAAAGTTTGCGGGGGTATATAGGAGTCACCCGGTGGTCGGTCGGGCGGGCGGTCGGTCGTCCAGATGTCCGTTGCATTTTCCTTGTCCGGAGCATAACTTGAAAACTAATGGTTGGAATTCAATATAACTACATACAATGGTCAAGCACATTGAGAGGAAGTGCAGTGCACAAGAACCATAACTCTATCTCGACTAATTACAGAGTTATTGCCCTTTGTTACTCTTCCTTGTCCGGGGCATAACTTGAAAACTACTGGTTGGAATTCAAAACAACTTCATACAATTGTCAAACACAATAAGGGGAAGTGCAGTGCACAAGAACCATAACTCTATCTAAAGTAATTACAGAGTTATTGCCCTTTGTTGCTTTTCCATTGCTTTTTTTATACCCCCGCACAACAAAGTTGTAAGGGGGGTATACTGGAATCAGCTTGTTCCGTCTGTCCGTCGGTTTTTTCTTGTCCGCCCAATAACTTAAGATTCCTTTGACCCTTAGTCTTCATATTTGGCATGGAGGTTAGTCATGATTAGTAGATGACCCCTATTGATTTTCAGGTCACTAGGTCAAAGGTCAAGGTCACAGGGGCCTTGACTTCAAAAAGCTTGTCCGCCCAATAACTTAAGATTCCTTTGACCTTTAGTCTTCATATTTGGCATGGAGGTTAGTCATGATTAGTAGATGACCCCTTTTGATTTTGAGGTCACCAGGTCAAAGGTCAAGGTCACAGGGGCCTTGACTTTCAAAAAGCTTGTCCGTCCAAATAACTTAAGATTCCTTTGACCCACAGTCTTCATATTTGGCATGGAGGTTAGTCATGATTAGTAGATGACCCCTATTGATTTTCAGGTCACTAGGTCAAAGGTCAAGGTCACAGGGGCCTTGACTTCAAAAAGCTTGTCCGCCCAATAACTTAAGATTCCTTTGACCCTTAGTCTTCATATTTGGCATGGAGGTTAGTCATGATTAGTAGATGACCCCTATTGATTTTGAGGTCACCAGGTCAAAGGTCAAGGTCACAGGGCCTTGACTTCAAAAAAGCTTGTCCGCCCAATAACTTTAGAATCCTTTGACCCTTAGTCTTCATATTTGGCATGGAGGTCAGTCATGATTAGTAGATGACCCCTATTGATTTTGAGGTCACTAGGTCAAAGGTCAAGGTCACAGGGGCCTTGACTTCAAAAAGCTTGTCCGCCCAATAACTTTAGATTCCTTTGACCTACAGTCTTCATATTTGGCATGGAGGTTAGTCATGATTAGTAGATGACCCCTATTGATTTTGAGGTCAAAGGTCAAGGTCACAGGGGCCTTGACTTCAAAAAGCTTGTCCGCCCAATAACTTAAGATTCCTTTGACCTACAGTCGTCATATTTGGCATGGAGGTTAGTCATGATTAGTAGATGACCCCTTTTGATTTTGAGGTCACTGGATCAAAGGTCAAGGTCATAGGGACTTTGACTTCAAAAAGTTTGTCCACCCATTAACTTAAGATTCCTTTGACCCACAGTCTTCATATTTGGTATGGATGTTGATCATGACTATAAGGTGACCCCTATTGATTTTGAGGTCACTGGGTGAAAGGTCAAGGTCACAGGGACCTTAACAAAAAAAAAGCTTTTCTTCTCAATTGCTAAAGAATGTCCTGTCCGCAATGTATTGATTTTGACATTTTCACATTTGAAGCATGTAGAATACATAACTTTGCAATGCATTGGCTTAGTAACCTCAGATTTGGCAGGGAGGTTGTCTTTGAGCTCTAAATGGCCACTGTTGATTCTGACAAAGTGGTATGCGGGGGGTATTTACGCCATGATAGTGGCAGTTCTAGTTTTGTCCGTTGCATTTTCCTTGTCCGGAGCATAACTTAAAGACTAATGGTTGGAATTCAATATAACTACATACAATGGTCAAGCACATTGAGAGGAAGTGCAGTGCGTAAGAAACATAACTCTATCTTAACTAATTACAGAGTTATTGCCCTTTGTTACTTTTCCTTGTCTGTGGCATAACTTGAAAACTACTGGTTGGAATTCAAAACAACTTCATACAATTGTCAAACACAATAAGGGGAAGTGCAGTGCACAAGAACCATAACTCTATCTAAAGTAATTACAGAGTTATTGCCCTTGTTGCTTTTCCATTGCCTTCTTTTTTTTTGTCCGGACCATAACTTGAAGACTAATGGTTGGAATTCAATATAACTACATACAATGGTCAAGCACATTGAGAGGAAGTGCAGTGCATAAGAACCATAACTCTATCTAAAGTAATTACAGAGTTAGTGCCCTTTATTACTTTTCCATTGCTTTCTTTTGTCCGGACCATAACTTGAAGACTAATTGTTGCAATTCATTATAACTTCATACAGTGGTCCAGCACATTGAGAGGAAGTGCAGTGCAGAAGAACCATAACTCCATTTTGACTTATTACAGAGTTACTGCCCTTTGTTTCTTTTCCTTGTCCAGAGCATGACTTTAAAACTACTGGTTGGAATTCAAAACAACTTCATACAATGTCCAAGCACTATAAGGGGAAGTGCAGTGCACAAGAACCATAACTCCATCTTGACTAATTACAGAGTTATTGCCCTTTGTTACTTTTCCATTGCTTTCTTTTGTCCGGACCATAACTTGAAGACTTATTGTTGGAATTCATTATAACTTCATACAATGGTCAAGCACAATAAGGGGAAGTGCAGTGCATAAGAACCATAACTCCATCTTGACTAATTACAGAGTTACTGCCCTTTGTTACTTTTCCTTGTCCAGAGCATAATTTGGAAACTACTGTTTGGAATTAAGTACAACTTCATACAGTTGTCAAGGACATTAAAAGGAAGTGCAGTGCACTAGAGCCATAACTCCATTTTGACAAAATACAGAGTTACTGCCCTTTGATACTTTTCCTTGTCCGGAGAATAACTTAAAACGTACTGGTTGGAATTCAAAACAACTTCATACAATGGTCAAGCACAATAAGAGGAAGTGCAGTGCACAAAAACTATAACTCTATCTTCAGTATTTATAGAGTTATTGCCCTTTGTTCTTTTTCTTTGTCTTTCTGGACTTATTACAGAGTATTTCAATTAAACTTCATCAATGGCCAACCACATTGAAAGGAAATGCAACATACATGAACCACAATTATCTTTAATTGCCCACAACCATAACTCTATGTTTCAATTCTATTACAAGGTATTCTGTTACTAGTAACATCCTCATTTCCAAAGCAGACTTGTGGGGGTATTAATCACATTTAGTGATAGTTCTAGTTATTTCTATATTAACTTTTAATTTGTATGTTTCTAATTTTTGACTTCTGATTTATGATTTTAATTCTGTTTCATTGAAACTGTAATCTCTATCTGGTAAGAAAACATGCTTCTTTTACTCATATGAGATATTAAAACCACTATTGACCTATGGTCAACCTTTCCATGACCAAGAAAGTGTTTGTTGTGTGTTGAGAATTTGATGTTTGTATTTTCAGTGTCTACAAGTGATACAGAACAGTTTACAGGTTACGAGACAACTTGTTAATGATGTTGACATGCGTTTATTTATGCATGATGTATTTGGTAAAGGTCTAGTGAAGAAATGTAAGACAAGTCCAGATGCTTTCATACAAATGGCCTTACAGCTTGCTTACTACAGAGTAAGTCTTCATTCAACTCTTAATGTTATATGAATTTTCTAGAAAAAAATGTTTTTATGGTCCACGAAAAATTTCGGGGGGAGCATATAGTCGTCGGGTTGTCCGTCCGTCCTTCAGTCCGTCCGTACGTACGTACGTCCCAAATTCGTGTCCGGCCCATAACTATGTTATTTGAAGTCAGATTTTAAAATTATTTCACAGAAGTGATCACCATATTGAGACGACGTGTCGCGCAACATCTGGATCGCTACCTTGAAGGTCAAGGTGACAGCATGACCTTGCAGCAAAATCGTGTCCGGTCCATAACTTTGTTATTTGAAGTCAGATTTAAAAAATATTCCACAGAAATGATCACCATATTAAGACGATGTGTCGCCCGCAACATGTGATCTTCCGTGAAGGTCAAGGTCACAGCATGACCTTGCAGCAAAATCTTGTCCGGTCCATAACTTCATTATTTGAAGTCGGATTTTAAAAATATTTCACAGAAATGATCACCATATTGAGACGACGTGTCGCGCACAACATTTGGGTCCCTACCTTGAAGGTTAAGGTCACAGCATGACCTTGCAGCAAAATCGTGTCCGGTCCATAACTTTGTTATTTGAAGTTGGATTTTAAAAATATTTCACAGAAATGATCACCATATTAAAACGATGTGTCGCCCGCAACATCTGGATTGCTACCTTAAAGGTCAAGGTCACGGTATGACCTTGCAGCAAAATCGTGTCCGGCCCATAACTTTGTTACTGGAAGTCGGATTTAAAAACTATTTCACAGAGATGATCACCATATTGAGACGACGTGTCGCCCGCAACATGTGGGTCGCTTCCGTGAAGGTCAAGGTCACAGCATGACCTTGCAGCAAAATCGTGTCCGGTCCATAACTTCATTATTTGAAGTCGGATTTTCCAACTATTTCACAAAAATGATCACCATATTGAGACAATGTGTCATGCACAATATTTGGGTTGTTTTTACACTTTGAACTTTGTCTGTGACATAACTCTGACACAACAAGAGGTATACCTTCCTGTGTCCAAAACCTATTCAGGGAGCATCACCCGGTTCAACCGGCTCTTGTTATATGTTGGACATAATCATCACTGATTGAATATATAGATAGATTGTCACATAAAAATCTGTAATGAATTATGATAAACATGTATTATTTTAACCATTTACTGTTATTAATGAATTTCTACATGCCCTCACAGCTTTAAGTACCGGTAGTATTCCTAATGAATTGATTAGTTTGCATTGTATTTAGATCCAAGATATGTCTGAAAAGTAGTTTATATGAAGTAATCTTTAGGGAACTGAAATGTTGCTGTATTAAATTTGCTTAACATTGTTGATCTGAAAGGAGATAAACACGTTTAGATACATTATAGTACAAAACACTATATATTATATTGTACATAAAACTTTTACCTGTATGATCACTTCAATTAACATTTACATTCATTAACTGAATTGAACTTGCCAATTTGTATTGCAGGATGCTGGTAAATTCTCACTCACTTATGAATCCAGTATGACAAGGTTATTTAGAGAAGGCAGGACTGAGACTGTACGACCATGTACCATCGAATCATGCAACTTTGTCCGAGCTATGATGAACCCAGATGCCACGGTATTGTACTTGTATTTATCAATAACAGGATTCAGTGTTTTGAGGATATGCTGGTTCACATTGTTAATATTAACTTTTTATCTGGGATATTCAAAAAATAATGGGTCCGTCCTTACTCATTAATTGACATGACACTATGGAACAACTTTTTGCACCCTAACCATAACTCTGGCATGGGTATTGAATGATATATGGCCTTATGTGAAATTTGAAATCTCTTGTTAAATGTTTGCATGCAAGATCTTTGGATAATAATCTCTTGAAACTTTGTACTTGTATTCAGGATCACAGTGAGATGTAACTTTTAATGGTCCATTACTTATTTTGAAGGAATTACATCCGTTTGTAAACTTCCTGATGCAGAATATTCCTGATTAAAGTTTTGCATGCAAGATAAATCTTCACAGCTACTGAATTTTCACTTGTAGCATCACACATGTCTAAGTATGATTGGAGTTCACCATTCAAGTCAAATGTATTGTTATTTATTATAATGTTGAATAATTTTAATAATATTTTACAGAAGGAAGAAAAGATTGCCTTGTTTAGGACGGCTACAGAAAGACATCAGATGGGCTACAGAGATGCTATGACTGGCAAGGCAATAGACAGACATTTGTTCTGTTTATATGTTGTGTCCAAATACCTTGAGATAGAAAGCCCTTTCCTCACCGAGGTTCTTAGTGAACCATGGAGACTGTCAACCAGTCAGGTAACCTTTACTGTCCCTTAACATGATGAAAACAATGATGAAATTGAGTGTTCTTAGACATCCTTACAGTTTATGGTAGTGTTGTTTATGATTAATTAAACTGCAGAAAAAAAAATCACATGTGGAAGTAAGTAAAGTGTTTTAAATGACAAAATTTATTTTAAGATGCATCAATTACATTTTCAATTTATGCTGCATATTAAATTCGAAGAAAGGAGATTATATACCTGTATTTGGTTTATATGTACAGACACCACACACACAGACAGACAAGCTTGATCTAGAAAGATTCCCAGACCGTATATCAGGAGGTGGTGGGTTTGGACCAGTAGCTGATGATGGTTATGGTGTATCATATATCATTGCTGGAGAGGATCATATATTTATACATGTATCTAGCAAAAACTCCTGTCCTACAACAGTAAGTATTCTATATTAGTGATTGAAGTATATGATCTAGCAACTGAATAATGTTAAAAACAAATTTGGTTTACGCTTTTTTTAACAACTATGTTTTTAAAGAAAAATACTTTTTTGCCTGAAATGCTGGTTTGTGACTGAAAAAGGCACAAAAGGGCACATAACGTTTTCTTCCACCAGTAATCTTGGAAAGTCGCCATATACTAGTAACCTGTACTGTGTTGGTGATACTAAAACACAAAACAAATTTAAAAAATATAGTCAAAGAAAGTTTGAAATATTCTTTAATAGTGTTTCGTGTACCTTACAATCCTGTAAAAATTTTTCACTCACAGATTCAAAAT